TGATATTACTAGACTAGTTAACTTTTATAATAATCTTTACCCAAAGCATGCCACCTTAGAAAATTACAATTGACTTAATTAAGTTTATTTGAACAAAGTTATTTCTATTTGTTTGATTGTTCAAAATGTTATGATCGCTGTAAACACGAAGGATATATAAGAAACAATATTATTGTAAGAGTTTAGAAACGTAGCAGAACCGATTTACTGCAATAATAGAGTAAGCCGAGTAGAGAGAAACGTAAATATTTACAAACATTCGCCTGAAAGTATAGCTATCCCACTTGGGTGAGGGGAGACGCACGGTCTCTAAATAGAGATAGAATGAATACTGAAGAATATCGAATAGTCAACACTAGGCTTCCCCCCTCCGATCGATCCCCCGTCCAATTCAAACGGGGATCAAATTTACGACGGCCTGAGCCGAGGTTCGAACCCATAGCGGTGCCCTCAGATTAAATTCGTATTCGTCAGGCGGGAGTTGGCCTTCAGCCGCTTCATAAGTCCTTCCTTTGGTTTGGAGTGCCATCTGCACTCGCCCCCTATCGTCCGGTGAAGCTGTAAAGGCCAGCTGCGGCCGACAGCATTAGAGTAGTCCGAAAAAAAAGTAGGCTTCTAAGCTATATCCGAACTCTATTCAACGTCTGATGATGCCTCGTTGAGAGGCGAAGCACGTGTCGCAATATGGGTGTAGACTCAATAGCGGTCGGAATTTGATCACCAATAGAGAAGGTCGTAACGGTAGACAAGTTTCCACACCGAATATTTGTGGTCTCACACATGCGAATTGTTGTGGAATTAAACTAAATAATGTAAATAAAGTAGTGAAATAGATTTCCGAAAAATAACACTTAATTCGATTAAATATATCTAGTCCCAAGGCAAGCAGAGCATGTGTTATGGGTATTTCGATATTTTTTTGTTTTACGGTGCTTATGTTAGGAAAAATCACGGGATCTTACCACGTTTTATTTATTTTTATTGAGTTCCTGATATTTCGCCAGTGTTACAGACATATTGACGGGTAAACAGAAGTAAATAAAATGTTTTATGGGCAGACTTATTCGTCTACCTTCACACGTCTTCGTTTGTTGGTACTATTGGAACTCGCTCGATACTCATCTTGGCAAACTATACTCACAGTATCATCGAGATACTATCTGATCTTATATAAATAAACTAACTACTCGCCTCGGCTTCGCACGGGTGTACATGTATTATCTTATATATAAAATTCTCGTGTCACAGTTTTCGTTCACATACTCCTCCGAAACGGCTTGACCGATTCTCATGAAATTTTGTGAGCGTATTGAGTAGGTCTGAGAATCGGCCAACATCTATTTTTCATCCCCCTAAATGTTAGGGGTAGTCCACCTCTAATATTTTTTTTTTATTTTAAGGCAAAACAACGTTTGCCGGGACAGCTAGTAATTATATATAATCTTTCCACTAGAATTACTCTATCTATTAAAAAAAACCGCTTCTAAATTCATTGCGTAGTTTTAAAGATTTAAGCATACATAGGGACAGGTAGCGACATCTACTTTGTTTTATACTATGTAATGATAAATATCCTCGGACAATTAACACAACGCCATCTAGTCCCAGGGTCTAAAAAAATCTAAGCATTTATATCAGTTATTTAGTACCCATAACTCAAACTGTGGACTACTCCAAAGATTGTGTTTTGGGTACTAAATAACTGATATAAATACTTAGATTTTTTTTTTTGTAAAGATACAGAATATACATAGCAAACACCCAGATCCCGACAAACACTTCTACTCACAAAAAATCTAAGTATTTATATCAGTTATTTAGTACCCATAACACAAACTTTGGACTACTCCAAAGTTTGTGTTATGGGTACTAAATAACTGATATAAATACTTAGATTTTTTTTTGTAAAGATACAGAATATACATAGCAAACACCCAGATCGATACAAACACTCATAATCTCGAATACAAATGTTTACACCGTGCGAGAATCGAACCTGCGACCATCGGAAGTAAAGCGGTGTGCTAAACCGCTAGACCACCGAGGCCGTCTATATGTTTTGTCTATTAATTGTGATTTTGGAATAAAATGATAGTAAAGTTATCGGGAATCGTCTGGAAGGTTCTAGAACTTCGTTCTGAAGGTCAGAAACACCAACTCATATGCACTTTAAACCAGCAGACGTTGTAACGAGCGAGCCAATGACACCAAGAAGCCAATGTACTAGAAGGGTGCCTATTAAAATAGGGTTGTTACCTTTTAACCTTTCGCCGTGACAAAGGGACTAGCCGTATGTTGCCGCCCTCTTGAAATATAGCCAGTTTTATTCCCTTATAATATATATATTATATTCTATATGTGAAAGATTTTGTGATATCTTTAAGTATTTTTTTTCTATGACTGATTTACTAACGATGGTCGCTGGTTCGATTCCTCGGTAAAACCATTTGTGTTCATGGGTATGATTGTTTATATCGATCTGGGTATTCTCTCTCTATATATATATTCATGGATAACAATGGAATGGTGCACCCGCCTGCGCCAACGGTTGGGCTGGTGGGGCACCAGTGGAGGATGATAAGAGGAGCATGAGGTCAGGCCAGTTTTTTAATATATATATTTTATTATACTTTTTAATGCTTAAGCATTAAACTGTGTGCATTAAACCTTTTGCTTTCTTGTGCACGTCATATTTCTTGTCACTATCCCTACCAACCAGTACGGATAGCTGATTATAGAAGAACTGGTAAGAAATTTAACTAGTATTTTTTTATATTACTTTTTAACCCCGCAAACGTTGTTTTGCCATATAAATTAAAATAGAAGAAATAGGGGTTGGTGGTAGACGGGTGAAAATTTAGAGTTGTATGTGTTTATTAATGCTATATTATAAAAAAATAAAAAGAAAAATGTTAGGGGTGCACAATCCTTATAATTTAGGGGTATGAAAAATAGTAGCCGATTCTCAGACCTACTGAATATGGATATAAAATTTCATAAGAATTGGTCAAGCCGTTTCGGAAGAGTATGGTAACTAACATTGTGACACGAGAATTTTATATATAAGATATATTATTCGTATATCTTATATATATTGTATGCTTATACTTTAAGCACACCGTTACTACACGGTGTATTGTTTTTTTTTATTTATCAACTTTCCACGGATATAAATGTCCAGGTTTCTTACAATGTTCACGGGTTCTGTTTTATTTGTATAATATTACTGGCTGTAGTTTTATATTACGCGACGTGACAGCCCTAACTCAATGCCTCGGGTTGAATATCAATGAGTACATTATAGGAGACACGACACTTGTATTGCAATATTATTATTATTGGTTTATTTATTTAAAAGAGCAACACACAAGTTTATTGCTTATTCTTCTTGTGATGAATCTGCATTCCGTATATTATAATTATTGGCTTCTATATTTAAAAGAGCAACACACAAGTTTCTTACTTATTCTTCTTGCGATGAATCTGCATTCCGTATATTATTATTATTGGTTTCTTTATTTAAAAGAGCAACACACAAGTTTATTGCTTATTCTTCTTGTGATGAATCTGCATTCCGTATATTATAATTATTGGTTTATTTATTTAAAAGAGCAACACACAAGTTTCTAGCTTATTCTTCTTGTGATGAATCTGCATTCCGTATATTATTATTTTTGGTTTATTTATTTAAAAGAGCAACACACAAGTTTATTGCTTACTCTTCTTGCGATGAATCTGCATTCCGTATATTATTATTATTGGTTTCTTTATTTAAAAGAGCAACACACAAGTTTATTGCTTATTCTACTTGTGATGAATCTGCATTCCGTATATTATTATTATTGGTTTCTTTATTTAAAAGAGTAACACACAAGTTTATTGCTTATTCTACTTGTGATGAATCTGCATTCCGTATATTGTTATTATTGGTTTCTTTATTTAAAAGAGCAACACACAAGTTTTTGCTTATTCTTCTTGTGATGAATCTGCATTCCGAATAAGCGGTAGAATAAAATAACTTGACTATTCAAAAGTGCTTATATTAAGTTTATTTGAATAAATTTTATTTCTATTTCTATTTTATAATTTTACATGAAATTCTTTTATATAATACTAGCCGTGCCCGTGGTTTCATCCGCGTTAAATTTCAATAAAAAATATAGCCTGTGTGTTATTCTGATGTATAAGTTATTTTACTGTAAAGTACTTTTTGCGTGAAAGTGTAACAAACATCTATATTCACAAATTTTCACCTCTAGTTTTTTGTATTCATATTTTTTCCCTACCGTCCAGTTTACAGATTCAAATCAGAGGAGCTAAAATGAATTTCTTTTTTTTAAAGCCAATCTATTGTCATTGTATATTTATAGGTGTATAGAGGAAAGAGGATCATGTTTTATTGAAAGTGTATAATATGAATGTGGATGGATGTAAAAGGAGGGGACGCCTACGAAAAGATGGATGGATTGTGTGAAAGATGATATAAATAAAAGAAGAGTATGCTCAGATATGACGACCGATAGAGAGCAGTGGAAGAGAATGACATACTGCGCCGATCCCAAATAATGGGATAAAGGCAAGGCAATGATGATGACTTATAGGTGTCTATGTCTAACATTAAATAAAAATCCCGTGCAGGAACAACTGAACTGAACCCGTTCATGAGGGAGGGGGAGGGGATTGGTTGTAATCTGGACTAATGATCCCATTGCTAGCAATGTACCATGTCAGTTTGACCTCCACGTCCTGGAAACCATCGTGATAAATTCCTGGTGAATTTGTCACGATGGGCTAACTGATCTGACGTCATGTTCATCCTATCCCCGCCAGCATAAACCGTTAGCTGCGGGTACACCATTCCATTATCATCCTCTAAAAACTCGTGCATGAACAAAACTTTCCACGCACGTTTGTCATTTAAGGAATTGTTTAGTGTGTAATTGGATTTGCTCAATAAATAATTAGAATTGATAATAAAGTATCTAATTGTTTTGTTATAGGCGGTGATCAACAGCACCATAACAGCGAATATGACGTTCACGAAAACATCGCAGAAATTCGGCCAGTGGAGCGACGTGAGGGCAAACACCGTATACGGGCTCGGCTTCGCATCGGAGGCCGAGTTAGGAAAGGTAAGAACAAAGATATAGTAAACATACGAGTTAGGAAAGGTAAGAAAAAACATGGCAAACCTAGGCCTATGTACAACAAAAATCTGAAGATTTTGCCAAACTGAAGAGGAAACGCAACTACACATCCTATGTGGTTCTAGCCCACTCATGCTTAAGGCCGAGTTAGGAGGGTAAGAACAAACATGGCAAACCTAGGTCTATACAAACATCTGCAGATTTTGCCAAACTGAAGAGCAAACGCCACTACACATCCTATGTGGTTCTAGCCCACTCATGCTTAAGGCCGAGTTATCAAAGTTAAGAACAAACATTGCAAACCTAGGCCTATACAAACATCTGTAGATTTTGCCAAACTGAAGAGGAAATGCGACTACACATCCAACAAAAATGTGGATTTTCTAAACCCACTCATCTATATGCTTAATGCCGAATTACTTATAAAAAGATCAAACATGGCAATGAATGTACAACAAAAAAAACAAAGAAGAACAGTGAACTTTTAGCATCTTATGAACCTCAAATTTTTTATATTATAATTTTTTCCTTAACGTCTAGTTCAGTATATACATCCAATTGAGAAGAACTGGCAAGAAATTCAATTGAATTACTTTTTTTTTTAAAAGCCTGTTCATTTACAATATATATTTATGTAGGTGTCTATGTCTAACATTACATGAAAATCCCGTGCATGAACAACTATTGCCACGCACGCTCGTCATTCAAGTAATCGTTTAGTGAGAGGCTTTGCCCAGTAAATATGATTTAACAGATCTTTTGAATTTAAGAGTAATTCCAGTATATGTATATTGTAAATTTTTATACCCATTCCTATAAAAGACCCATTGACTTTTTCTAAACGATACTTAGGACAAGTAACAGCAGTTTGTCTTCAAATCTAGTATTAATGTTATGAACAAAACCGCTAGACCAGCGACGCCGTCTACCTCTACCGTTACTTATGAACGTAGGTTCAAATCGAGAATTGATAGAAACTTTCTTCAAATCAGATTAGCTTAAGTTTAAGGTGTTTTAGAATATTGTCTACTAGCTACTCGCCCTGGCTTCGCTCGGGTGTACATGTATATATACAAACCTTCCTCTTGAATCTCTCTATCTATTAAAAATCACCACTTCAAAATCCGTTGCGTAGTTTTAAAGATTTAAGCATACATAGGGACGGAGAGACTGCGACAGTGACTTTATTTTATAGATAGTATACTATGTAATGATAGTTTGTATGTATTTGACGGCCTCGGTGGTCTAGCGGTTTAACACACCGCCTTACATCCGATGGTCGAAGGTTCGATTCCTCGCACAGCGCAAACATTTGTATTCAGGAGTATTATTGTTTGTATGAGTCTGGGTGTTTTCTATGTATAATATGTATGTATTTACGAAAAAAATTTATGTATTTGTATCAGTTATCTAATACCCATAACACAAGCCTAACTTGGGTCTACATGGCGCTATATGAATTATTCTGAGATTATTATTATCATATTAGCTGCGTCTACATTTATGTGGTATGTGTGTGGTATTATTATCATACTAGCTAGGTGTACATATATTATATATACAACCCTTCCCCTTGAATCACTTGTATCTATTACAACTGCTTCAAAATCCATTGCGTAGTTTTAAAGATTTAAGCATACATAGGGACAGACCGCGACAGCGACTTTGTTTTATACAGTATAATGATGATGTTGTTTATACACAAAATGGCTTCATTCAGTTTACGTTAAGATGAAACTCCAATTAATAACAGATGTTAAGCATCGCAACTTACACGCCTTAAGCGAAATTAACCGTTGAATGATAGATTAATATGTTAATTATTTAAACCCGCAATCTATGTTCCCCGATGCTTATGTAAAGGTACAGTCGGATAAAGTTTTAAGGAAGGTGTTAGAAATAGAAATAACAAGACCTACATTCAAGGGGGGAAGGGGATTGTTCGTAATGTGGATTGATAACCCCATTGCTAGCAATGTACCATGTCAGGTCGACCTCCACGCGGTTCCCTCTGAAAACCATCGTGTTAAATTCCTGGTGAATTTGTCACGATGGGCTAACTGACCTGACCTCATGCTCATCTTATCATCCTCCACTGGTGCCCCGCCAGCGTAAACCGTTAGCGCAGGCGGGTGCACCATTCCATTATCATCCACAAAAAAAAAAAGACCTACATTCATTCGCGGCTCACATATACCTCCCCCGCATGGTACGAACTGTTCTCGGCCACACAGCGACGGAGACTGCAGGTCCAACAAAATAGAAATAGAAATAATCTTTGTTCAAATAAACTTTATATAAGCACTTTTGAATAGAGTCAAGTTTTTTTATTCTACCGCTTATTCGGAATGCAGATTCATCACAAGAAGAATAAGCAAGAAACTTGTGTTGCTCTTTTAAATAAGTATTGATTTAGTTATATTTAATTAACAACAAGGATTAGGCATGCGACAGTCAACATAGAAACCGCTACGCACTTAATCTCTGTTCAATCAGATAATATTGTCAGCGAAATGGAGCGAACTATGAATTTTAAGTTAAATATTTTCTACAAAAACATTATTATCATTTATAAATTCTTCAATTTTATAATAAGCATTTTTAATAAACGTCGCCCTTCGTCTGTGCACTAATGCCGGACGGTACATCCGCATTGACGTGATCGCCCGCGATCTTAAGGTCCCCACGGTGGAGCAATTTGTCGCCCGGTTCACGCGCAGGGACTCACCCCACTCCACGCGCGCCCACCGGACGCAACTAGCGCGCTCCCGCGCGACCTTCTCTCCATCGTGGAAACACGTCATTCGCGGTAGGGCGGCGTACAAAGTCGGCCCGGCCGGCGATACTAATTTCCCCTACATGCCACACTCAGCTGGTTACATATTAGCCCCAGCAGTATGCCCGGGTAATACGTACCTGGCGGCCCAAATGGGCCCGAGGAAGACCCCCTGCTGCCTATGGATGGTTATAAATAAAACGCGACCTTCTCTCCAACGTGGAGTCACGTCATTCGCGGTAGGGCGGCGTGCAAAGTCGGCCCGGCCGGCGATACTAATTTCCCCTACATGCCACACTCAGCTGGTTACATATTAGCCCCAGCAGTATGCCCGGGTAATGAGCCCCGTACCCGGCGGCCCAAATGGGCCCGAGGAAGAATCCCTGCTGCCTATGGATGGTTACAAATAAAACGCGACCTTCTCTCCAACGTGGAGTCACGTCATTCGCGGCAGGGCGGCGTACAAAGTCAGCCCGGCGAGCGTCACAAATTTCCCCTACATGCCACACTCAGCTGGTTACATATTAGCCCCAGCAGTATGCCCGGGTAATGAGCCCCGTACCCGGCGGCCCAAATGGGCCCGAGGAAGAATCCCTGCTGCCTATGGATGGTTACAAATAAAACGCGACCTTCTCTCCAACGTGGAGTCACGTCATTCGCGGTAGGGCGGCGTGCAAAGTCGGCCCGGCCGGCGATACTAATTTCCCCTACATGCCACACTCAGCTGGTTACATATTAGCCCCAGCAGTATGCCCGGGTAATACGTACCTGGCGGCCCAAATGGGCCCGAGGAAGACCCCCTGCTGCCTATGGATGGTTATAAATAAAACGCGACCTTCTCTCCAACGTGGAGTCACGTCATTCGCGGTAGGGCGGCGTACAAAGTCAGCCCGGCGAGCGTCACAAATTTCCCCTACATGCCACACTCAGCTGGTTACATATTAGCCCCAGCAGTATGCCCGGGTAATGAGCCCCGTACCCGGCGGCCCAAATGGGCCCGAGGAAGAATCCCTGCTGCCTATGGATGGTTACAAATAAAACGCGACCTTCTCTCCAACGTGGAGTCACGTCATTCGCGGCAGGGCGGCGTACAAAGTCTATATCAAAGTCGATACTAATTTCCCCTACATGCCACACCACTCCCTCCGCCGGTTACATAATAGTAGCCGGCCTCGCCAACGAACGACGCTGGTGTGGTCCACTCCAGCAGTATGCCCGGGTGATGAGCATATGCTCGAGGCCCGTACACGGCGGCCCAAATGGGCCCGCGGAAGAACCCCCTGCTGCCCCTTCTTCTCTCGATCGTGGAGTCACGTTATTCGCGGCAGGGCGGCGTACAAGGTCAGCCAGGCGAGCGACACTGAACTGCCCACCATATAATTCCCCTCAGCCGACTTAAAAGTCGTTGGCTACCGGCTTCCGGCCGGTAAAAGAACGACGCTGGGATGGTTCACCCCAGCAGAATGCCCGTGCCAGGAGCACGAACTCGAGGCACGAACCTAGCGGTCCGTAAGAACCTGAGGAAGATCCGGCTACTACAAATAAATAACCCTGGACAATTAACACAGCGCCAAATACCCACGGTGAGCAGAGCTAGTGTTGTGGTACTGGACAATTGATATAATTTTTTTGTAAATACATACATACATAGTATGCATAGAATACATACCAGACCGATACAAACAATCATACTTTAACGAGGTTATAACGGCATAGGAAGGCCGAGAAAGTGATGGATGGACTGTGTGAAAGATGATATAGTAAGAAAGGGAGTAAATAACGCGATATATATATGTATATATATATATAAACTAGCTGTCCCGGCAAACGTTGTTTTGCCATATATAATACCTTAAAATCGCTATTAAAAAATAGGGGTTGGTGCTAGGAGGGTGAAAATTAAGGGTTGTATGTATTTTTAAATGCCACATTATAAAAAATATTGTCGAAAAAATTAAAAACATATTTTTTGGGGTGAACCACCCTTAACACTTAAGAGGTATAAAAAATTGTTATAAAACTATTCTCAGACCTACTGAATAACCATATAAAATTTCTTAAAAATCTGTCAAGCCGCTTCTGAGAAGTTTAAACACGAAATCTGCGACACGAGAATTTTATATATTAGATGGAATTTTATATACATGTATATAGAACCCGCGATAAATTTGTACGACTGTACATTTTAACCGTGTAAATGATACACGCATAATAGGGTTTTGCGGTTTGATAATAATTTTATAATTGTACCTTAAGTAACATAGTAATCGTACGGAATATATTCACGTCTTAATGACAACATAATAACCCGATTATTACTGTCAAATAATCATAACTACTCCCACGGTAAGCAGAGCTTGTGTTGTGGGACAACTGATATAAATACTTAGATATATTTTATAGCAAATACATTCATAATAGAAAATATAGAAAATACCCAAACCGATACAAACAATCATATTTATGAATAGAATAGAATAGAAAATAATTTATTTAAATAAATTTAATTTAAGCACTTTTGAATAGTCATAATAATTTTTTTACGCAAGTTTCTTGCTCGTTCTTCTTGTGATGAGACAGCTTTCCGAATGAGCGGTAGATTAAAAAAATGTGATCACTATTCAAAAGTGCTTCAAAGTAAGTTTATACGAATAAATGATTTACTATTCTATTCTATTCTTTTAATCTACCGCTCATAGCGGAAAGCTGTCTCATCAAAAGAAGAACGAGCAAGAAACTTGTGTGTTGCTCTTTTAAATAATCCTTGCAAGTTCACATTTTACAAGTCGAAACGTGTGGATACAAACTACCAACCAGCACTAATTTTTTGGGTCAAATATAAGTACATTGCACTGCGATCTGAAGGATATATATAGAGGTTACTTCAGGGTCGGCAACGCGCACGTGACATCCCTGGTGTCTTCGGTGTCCATAGGCTACGGTAACCATTTACCATCAGATGGGCCGTATGCTTATTTGCCACTATCATAATAAAAAAAAGGTATAAATGTTAACGTATAAGTTGTATAAATCATAGTTAAAAATTTTGGAGATAAAGAAAACGCCATGATGGAATTTTCTTCAAAATAAATGCAAAGAAGTTTTTATGTCTCGTACATAAGTTGTACAGACGGACATGTACTACAATATATATTGGCGACGGTTACAATTTTCTACCAACCGTGCCGTCTGTTTACCATTACAATATAATAACTTGGTTGCAGTTTATCGAGAAGTTCCAAGAGGTGAAAGAGGCGATACAAGCGCAGCAGTGTACCGGCGGGGCCAAGAGTGTGACCAACGGCAACAGTGGCGCCGCCACTCCCGTCGCCAGCGCGACTGCCAGTCCACTGCTAGCTGGCCGCGCAGCGCAGCAGGATGACGTTGAGCCGGCCATCTCGCCCGCACAGGTATACCCTTCTTTACTCGCTTGCATAGGTATTTCTATCCCATTTTACTCACACGCACATGTACCCTTTTTATACCCCCACACATGTATCAGTATCCCTCTTTATTCGCTCACACATGTACCATTTTTACTCGGCCGCACATGTACCCTTTTTACTCGCCCGCATAGATATTTCTATCCCTATTGACTCGCCTGCACATGTATTCCTATCCCTTTTCACTCACCCGCACATGTACCCTTTTCACTCGCCCGTATAAGTATTTCTATGCCTTTTTAGTCACCCGCACATGTATTTCTATCCCATTTTACTCACCCGCACATGTACCCTTTTCACTCGCCCGTATAAGTATTTCTATGCCTTTTTAGTCACCCGCACATGTACCCTTTTTACTCGCCTGCATTGATATTTCTATGCCTTTTTAGTCACCCGCACATGTATTTCTATCCCATTTTACTCACCCGCACATGTACCCTTTTCACTCGCCCGTATAAGTATTTCTATGCCTCTTTACTCTCCCGCATAGATATTTGTATTCCTTTTTATTCGCTCACACAGGTATACAAATACCTGTATACCGAGTACCGTTAATATATGGATTGTTCTTAACAGTATATATGATATATGTTCTGGTGTTACAGCCGAAGGTGGACAATGATGAGATGATGGTGCATCAACGAGCTCACTCTGTATCTTCCACATTGCAGGTTTGTGTCTCATTAGCAACCTATGGCAAATATATATATAATATATCAATATAATAATTAAATATCACTGGTTGTTTTATTTATCATCAGAGGACGATGTGCAGGACTCCAAAGGGAGTTGCTTTGACGCCTGCTGGTTCTTGCCGTATAATGTTTGCTGGCAAGAAGCGAGCAGCCGTTTGGAGTGCTTGTGTGTGGGTATATGCACATCACATGCTCTTCTGAATATACGAGTTGACCAGTGCAATCGTCTTTCAATTATTTCGTTGGGTTTCCTAATCCTTATAAGTCTGTTGATATCAAACAGTATATATAAAAATTACGTGTCATGTTGTTCGTCCGCGATGGACTCCTGAACTTGCAAATTTCATTTGCACATTGTGTACAATTTGATCCAACTTGAAAGATAGGATAGCTTACATCTCAATTTATAGTCGCAATATTATTTTATTCAAGAATCTTAGCCACAGCAACGTGTGGCCGGGTCTGCTCAGTAATGTAATATAACTTAATCTGTTTTGTAGTGTAAACATTAGAGCCGGCGGATGTGCTAACGGTTTACGCTGGCGGGGCACCAGTGTAAGATGATAAGATGAACATGAGGTCAGGTCAGTCCATCGTGACAAATTCACCAAGAATTTGTCACGATGGTTTCCAGGGGGAACCGCGTGGGGGTTAACATAGTACATTGCTAGCAATAAGGTCATCAGTCCTCATTACGAACAATCCCGTTTCCTCTCAACTGAACCTGGTCTGATTCCCTCAGGGCGGGTACGCGACGGTGGGTCGTGCCCCGCGCGGTCCTCTGTCGTCGGTGGGGGCGGCGGGGGTCGCGGCGGGGGGCGCGGGTGCCGGGGGGGTCACGGCGGGCCCCCCGCTCGCGGCCGACCCTGCGTCGGGCCCCGAGGGCGCCGACCACCAGCTGCGGTACGAGAACGATCGCTTGAAGCTGGCACTGGCGCAAAGGTATGTCTAGTATTTAGAACGATCACTGAACACCTGCTTTTTATACATAGAGACAATTACGTATAAGAACAAATCGATGATTAAAAACTGGTAGGTAATCTTATAAATAAAATTCTCGTGTCACAGTTTTCGTTCCCATACTCCTCCGAAACGGCTTGACCGATTCTCATGAAATTTTGTGAGCGTAGTCTAAGAATCGGCCAATTGAGTAGGTCTGAGAATCGGCCAACATCTATTGCTCATCCCCCTAAATGTTAGGGGCAGTCCACTTCTAAATTTTTTTATTTTTTATTATTTAGACAAAATTTTTAGTTTCTATTTTTTTATGATACAACATACAAAAATATATACAATCCTAAATTTTCACCCTTCTATCATCAACCCCTATTTTTTTATAGTGTTATTAATTTATATGGCAAAACAACGTTTGCCGGGACAGCTAGTATTAAATAAAATAAATACAGTGTGAATTTGGAAAAGCTATTGACTAATGGAAATAAGCCCCTAGGATAAAATGACACCCATAGGTAATAGGAATTGCAAAGCCGGGGTGGGTAGCTTGTAAGAAATATAGTAATGTTTTATAGTTATCACGAAAGTTTATTAATAACTGACGACCTCGGTGGTCTAGCGGTCTAGCACACCGCTTTAAGATCGATGGTCGCGGGTTCTTTTTTTTTATACTACTTTGGTGGCAATCAAACATACGGCCCATCTGATGGTAAATGGTTACCGTAGCCTATGAACGCCTGAAACACCAGGGGTATCACGTGCGCGTTGCCGACCCTTAAGAAACCTTAATATACCCTTCTTGAAAAACCCCATGCTGTACTCTCGTGGGAAAACCTCGGCAGGTAGTTCATTCCACAATCTAAGTGGACGCGGGAGGAAACTCCTCTGAAACCGCACTGTTCGGGACCACATAGGTTCCAGTGTGTGGGGATGAATTCCCTGTTCCCTGTGGGGTTCGATTCCTCGCACGACACAAACATTTGTATTCATGAGTATGATTGTTTGTATCGGTCTGGGGGTTTTCTATGTATAATATGTATGTATTTACAAAAAAAAAATATCTATGTATATGTATCAGTTATCTAGTACCCATAACACAAGCTTTAGCTAGCTTAACTTGGGTCTAGATAGCGCTGTGTGATTTGTCCAAAAAAAAAAAAAACTAGCTTAGCTTTAGCTTAATTAGCCCACACCGGCTTCGCCCGGGTGTACATATATTATACATATAAACCTTCCTCTTTAATCACTTTAGCTATTTAAAAAACCACTTCAAAATCCGTTGCGTGGTTTTAAAGATTTAAGCATACATAGGACGGACAGACAGCGACAGCGACTGTTTTATACTATGTAATGATAACCGAGGGATAATTGAGAGGCATCTGAAAAATAATACGATTTGATAATAAAATAATAGTTTAATAAACCTCAAGAGTTTTGTACAACACTTAAAACTAAATACAAACAAAACAACATGTAATAATAGTACAGTCTTAATTCAGGCGATACTCATAAGCAAGTGATTATAGTAAAATAGATGAGGTAAGACCAAGCGTAAAACCATTAATAGTAAAAAATAAAAAAAAGGATAGTAGTAGATGCTTGTAGTAGAATAGAAGTATAGGAGAATATAGTATTTATTTATGTATGTATTTGCTTGAAAAATGGTATAAATATTAAAATAATCTAAACATATAAATAAAATTGGAGTGTCTGTTTGTAATATTGAAATAACCGTATTTTACTACATGCATATGAATATAAATTACAATTATTTTACAATTTTTGTCTGTCTGTCTGTCTGTTTGTTCCGGCTAATCTCTGAAATGGCTGGACCGATTTTAACGGGACTTTTATTGGCTGATGCTGATGTAATAAGGAGTAACTTAGGTTACTTTTATTTTAGAATCATTCTTTTATTGTATATATTTATTTGTCGACAGTTTTTTTATGCTACGACAGTGGCAAACAAGCATACGGCCTATCTGATGGTAAATGGTTGCCATAGCCAATATTTCTATCTACCCTATATGAAATATTAGTCGTGAAGGTAATAATTATTAATTTTTCAAAATTTCCTAGCGATAAGAGAATATTTATTTACTGATTACTTATGCAATTGAGTATTTATTTATTTGTCAATAATTTATTTATTTATATAGGAATGTAATAAATTTTTATAAAGAATAAATAAATGTAAGGAAAGGATATAATAGAAAAGAAGAGAGTACCACGCGCTCTTTACAAAGAAAGGCAAGAAATAAAAGCTGAGGTAAACAAGCGAGATCAATTTCACAAGACTACACCCATCTGGTGGTTTTTCAACAGTTTGACCTCAAGTGTACGGCACTCGTATCTTAGGTAACTGCACAGTGACGAGCGGAGCGGACAATTTCTCACTAATATTTGCATTACTCTGTAAATCAGGGGTGAGCAACCTTTTTAGTAACGAGCGGAGTGGACAATGTCTTGACATAAGGTATATTTTTTGCATTACACTGTATATCAGAGGTGAGCAACCTTTTTAATAACGAGCGGAGCGGACAATGTCTCATACTAACGTGAGGTATATTTTTTTGCATTACACTGTATATCAGGGGTGAGCAACCTTTTTAGTAACGAGCGAAGTGGACAATATGTCTCATTCTAACATAAGGTTATATTCTTTTGCATTACACTGTAAATCAGGCGTGATCAACCTTTTATGGTTGGTTTTTTAGTAAGTAAAACTCCCACACATCCCCTCATCTGCGCTTTGACTGGAGGACAGTCGTTTGAATATTTTTCCAGATGATAAAAAAGGGAAAAAAACACGAATAAATACAAGAGAAGAGAAATCATTGCCCGTTAATAGTATACAAAAAAAATGAGAAAGTGTAAGAGATAGAGAGTCGTATACAGTAGTGCGAGAATAAATGCATGAGAAAAATCATGATGATCAAGTGAATAATGTCTTGAAAGATGAAATAGAGAATAATCACAATATTTCTTCTGTAAGTGATCACAATATATAAATTTCTTGTGAGGTTTTTTATAGTATAGGCGACATACCTGCTTACGGTTCACTTGATGGTAAGTGATTACCGCCGCCCATGAGCACTCCAATGCCAGGGGAATTGCAAGTGCGTTGCCAGCCTTTTAAGAAGGAAAACTTTTTTTTCAAGGTTTCAATATTGTATCGGTTCAGAAATACTAATGCTGGAAGGTGATTCCGCAATGTGGTTGTGCGTGGCAAAAAGTTTCTTGAAGAACGCACGGTGAGGTATAGAAATATGCTTATAATAATGCAATAAATTACGCTTCTATGTGTTCCATTTGATCATATTCTATTTCTTATAAAGTAGGGGTTATTAGTTGCCTTTACACGATACATTCTTTTACGCGCGAGATTTAGCGCGCGCAATCTTGAAAGATTGCCTCTTACTATTTTACTCTTATTATTTTTACACTCTTTCGCACGTGATAGCACATATATTTCATATCATATCACTTTCCTTTAAAATTTGTCCTCTAAACACGCGTTTAAGATTTTTTAAATAGTCAATAACTCTATAATTATATTTTTGATCTATAGTCTGGAGTCCTTAATTTTGCACTGATAATTTCATATTAAAAAAGACGCTAAAGCACGATTGAAGAACGTCTGAATTCGCGCACTCTTGCGCTCGGGCTTTCTTTTTCCTTTCGTCTACATTTACATGCACATTCTTTCCTGCGTGAAAAATGATTCCCGCGTGTAAGAGCGTACGTGTAAAGGCACTATTAGGCATTTTATTGGCCCATACTCTAAAATTATTAACGCAATCAGTGCTCGAAACCACCACTAATAGGAACAAAACCTTCCTCAGCTTGGAATTCATGCTGATACGTTACTGGACCGTATTTATGTAGTGGGACCTTATACTCCTGGATTGCTATAGGAGCCTTGAATTCCGGTTCATGGTGTTCTTTGGGAGTCCCGATCTTGTGTACCACAGCATTGAAGCCGTTTTTGTCGTCGGCTTCATATTCCACTACGCGTTTTGTTCCATCTGTCTCCAGGAGGGTGTATGTGCCTGGGGAATGTATGGATGATTTAATATCTACATTGATAAGGGCCACATTGAAAATATCTAATAAATCTTGGCTATGATTCAGAGGTCTTTGTTTTATGGATGATAAGGAATTGTTAAACCTACAATGACATTTATTGGCTGTTTTGTTTGTTGTTTGAAATGTAAGTGTTTTTTTCTTGTTTCACGTAACTTCTGTCACTGCGCTCTGTCTCAATAATAAAACGTCGTATGTACATGCAAGTTTTTTACTGGAATGGCAGTCCCGCTTATACTAGTGGTAGAAGGGATGAGGTTGAAACAAAATCTTTTAAGCACGATGATTCCTATGGCATTAAATTTCAGGACATAGGGTATGACAATGCTTTAAAAGCCACTTCAAGCTTTCAAGGAAATATCGTAGTTTTAATATTCTTTGTTCATGTACTATCAGGTGGTCAGTAAGCTTTGGCAAAAAATAGAAATTTAACTAGAATTCTAGTACTCATTCGATAGTACATGATTTGACATCAAAGTCTGTAATAGACCTACATGAATAGAGATATTTTGAAAAGGTTTGTTTTGCTCGAGTATTAGATATTCGGTGTATCCTTGTGATAGTAAATACACTATGTAAGCTTACCTTTCACCTTGTCTCCATCTCTGGTCTCCCAATGTTCCTTATCATCTCCCGTATGTGGATCCTTGACGGAATAATCAAAGGAGTATTTGGGATGCGCCTGAAATTGGAAAATAGTGGATTGATTATAATTAAAATGCTTACAGTTAAGGAAATACTCAGTACTATACACTTAAGAACGGTATTTTGTTTTATTTCTTTTTAAATTTAAGGACTTTTGTACCATCTAAGTACATGCCAGTCTAATTGTACCCTAAAACTAATCACTATTACCTCACCAGTGAACAAATTGCCTTAGCCGCACTGTCTGAAGGATCGGCTAAAACAGTTTGTATGGCGCCAACATCTAATATATTTATTCTATGGTCTGACGTTATTCTGTGTCGTAGACTCTCGTTCCTGACACACTCCATCAGGAAATGATATACATCCTCTGTTGTACTACATACTTCACAATTTTGTGAATTGCTTTTTTCATCAGGTATGCAAACTCAAGCACTTCACGTCGATTGTTGTTAGCAGAATTTAGACCTTAAGGTTTGATCATAAATAGTCACGAATGTATACAAACTTATTTTGTACTAGCTGTACTCTCGACTTCGTCCGCGTCGAATTTAACAAAAAAATAATTAGAGATTTTTCTATAATAAAAGTAGCCTAACTTACTCCTTATTACATCAGCTACCTGCCAATAAAAGTCCCGTCAAAATCCGTCCAGCCATTTCAGAGATTAGCCGCAACAAACAGATAGACAGACGAAAATTGTAAAAAATGTTATTTTGGTGTATGTACCATATTTATATTCATATACATGTAGTAAGAAATAATTATTTCCATATTACAAACAGACACTCCAATTTTATTCATATGTTATAAAGAAACTTACATGATAGTCCAAATCAAACTCCTCATGATGGCCGTCCAGACGCTGGTGCTGTTGGTGCAGTACTGGCTTGTGTGCATGGTAGCCATCGAATTCATGGTTCTCGTAACCGCTCAGCTCCTCGTACTGACCCAGGGTTGCCACCACCAGGGCTGCAAGGTATAGGGCTTTCTGAAATGAGACAAATATCATATTAATACGTGTAGCAAAATGACGACCTCGGTGGTCTAGCGGTCTTGCACACCGCTTTACCACCGATGGTCGCGGGTTCGATTTCCCCCGCACGGTACAAACATTTGTGTTGATCAGTATGATTGTTTGTATCGGTCTAGATGTTTTCTATGTATAATATGTATTTATTTACAAAAAACATCTATATATATGTATCAGTTATCTAGTACCCATAACACAAGATTTAGCTACCTTAACTTGGGTCTAGATGGCATTATACATAGAAAACAGCCAGACTGACACAAACAATCATACTCATGTATACAAAGGTTTCCACTATGCGAGGAATCGAATCCGCGACCATCGGAAGTAACGTGGTGTGCTAAACCACTAGACCACCGAGGGCGTCATAAGCGGCTAAAATGTCCTAGATGAATAAATGATTTTTTATGTGATATGCGTTGAAAGTTAATTGGAGACAAAAGCTGTGAACGTATCAGGAAACGCACGAGGTAACAACCTCACGTGCGTACTCGCATTGCAATGATAGTGAAAGTGTTTATCTTATACGGTAGACAGTTAAGATGGTAACACTGAAGTGGTCTGTGGAAATTATACGGAAATATATAATCTTCATTTGTATAACTGTTTAAGGCTGGATTTCACCACAGAAACTGATCGCGTTTAATTCGAACTGAACGCGATTAAAACGTTTAAACGTGTTCAAAGCTTCATTCTGCATTTCACCACTACAAATTTCGCTAAACACGTTTATAAATTCTGAACGTCTGATTTCCTACGGTTAACTCTTTAAACGTATTTAAAGCAGCTGTCAGTTGTCAAACAGTCATCAATCAAATTTTTGACAATATAATGTCGGGAATAAAAGAAAATTGCTAGTAGTGTAAAAAAATCCTCAATACAATAATGTTTTACCTTGTTTATAGGTAAAGGTTGGTGTTGTATAATTTGTAGTCGACGGTACTTATTAAATTAAAAATTAAAAAACTTGTCCTAATTATCACATGATTGAATTACAAATATTTCTTAGAATTATTTTATTTAAATCACCCATTGCATCAAATGTTATTTTATGAGCGTGTAACACTGTGAACGAATGAAAATCTAAACTTCATTTTGGTAAACGCGATCTGTACAACGCTGGTGAATTCCATTTAATGTAAACGAGATCAACGTCGTTCTTTTTTTCTACTTACGCTGAACTCCGTTTCCTTGAACTTGTTTATACTGGTCGAGGATTTGTGGGATGGTTGATAGATTTAAAATATATTTATGAAACTAGCTCTTGCCCGCGGCTTCGCTCGCGTTAACTAATCCTCTTAGGGGTGGAATTTATCAAAATCCTTTCTTAGGCGATGCCTACGTCATAGTAGCTTTATGCATGCAAAGTCTCAGTCTGGTCGATTTAAAATTGACAAAGTTTCATACTAACTTTTAACCCCTATTTTATCCCCTTGGGGGTAGAATTAATCAAAATCCTTTCTTAGCGGATGCCTACGTCATAAAATCTACCTGCATGCCAAATTTCAGCCCAATCCGTCCAGTGGTTTGGGCTGTACGTTGATAGATCACTATGTCAGTCACCTTTGAGTTATATATATATTTAGATAAAAGAAGCAATGTTTAGATAATCTCTGTTGATTTTAATTTGTTCTTTTTTCAACTTTCTTTTTTATTATGTTTTGCGGACCTGGCAACGCACATATTTGAAGGCTGCCAGTTACAATTTATTTTTTATATGGAATTGTACAATAATAACATTTGTGGCTAGAGTCAGACTTTCTACAAAGTCTGCGTGGTTCTATCTGATGGAGATATCTTATTCTTCATCCTCGCCTCTTCCCGTTACGCGGGCTTTCCTAATCTTTCTCAATTGAATTTAAAAATGAATCTGTATTATTTTAAACATGTACAACATTTATTTAAAAAGAATACGAGCTGAGTTTCTTTTCAGTTCTTCTCATTACGAAATCATTCCGAACTGACGGTAGATTTGACATATCATAATAGTAGGTCTGTAATAGACCTACATGAATATAGATATTTTGAATTTTAATTGTCCAGGCTTATTTAAAATTAAATAAGCTAAGATATACCTGCTAAATTCCTAAATGTCGGCTGTAATCAGTTTTTCATTGTCAGATTATTAGGCATGTATTTATATATTTATTTCTGTATGTTTTATCTTATATATAAAATTCTCGTGTCACAGTTTTCGTTCCCATACTCCTCCGAAACGGCTTGACCGATACTCATGAAAATTTGTGAGCGCATTGAGCAGGTCTGAGAATCGGCCAACATATATTTTTCATCCCCCTAAATGTTAGGGGTAGTCCACCCCTAAATTTTTTTTTTATTTTAAGGCAAAACAATGTTTGCCGGGACAGCTAGTAAAATATAATATTGTTTGCAACGCCAACAACTTATCTCTGCACAACTCATGGTTGCCTGGTACAAAATACCATTAGGTGTTAAGTCCGCCATATGTACTTTTTACCTATGTACGACGTGCATTAAAGTTATTTAAATAAATAAAATAAAAATAAGTGTATTAGAGGGAGGTGCTCACGCAGACGGATATTTTGAATTTGATAAGGGTATTCGCAGACGCTGACGATTTTGCTACATAATCTGACACGGTAATCATTTTATGTATATGAGTATCGTATGTATGTAAGTATCGTTTAGAAAAAGTTAATAGGTCTTTTATGGGAATAGGTATAAAAATTTACAATAAGATACCAAAGGATATGTTGGAATTACCCTTAAACAAATTCAAAACATCTGTTAAATCATATTTACTGAGCAAAGCCTATTACTCACTAAACGATTACTTGAATGACGAGTGTGCATGGCAATAGTTGTTCATGCACTGAATTTTCATTTAATGTTAGACATAGACACCTATATAAATATACATTGTAAATAAACTGGCTTTAAAAAAAAGTAATTCAATTGAGTTTCTTGCCAGTTCTTCTCAATTGGATCTATATACCGAACTGGACGGTAGGGAAAAAAATAAAATTATAATGTAAAAATTTGACGTTCATAAGCGGCTAAAATGTCCTACATGAATAAATGATTTTTGAATTTGAATTTGAATTTGAATTTGTACACCAAAGTGTATTTCAGTTTAAGTCAACGCAATTCAAAATTTATGTAACGTTACTTGCTCAAGTTACATCAGTATGTAATCTCGATTTCGCGTCGCCTCGTGAACTTTAGCTAGAGTTTAGTAATGATAATAGGAGAGGTGAATTCACGCAAGTCACCTACTGTAATTGTCTTTATGTTATATGACGCTACATCCCAGTATTACGGTAATGTGGTATTAAATAATAATAGAATAGAATAGAAAATAATTTATTCAAATAAACTTAATTTAAGCACTTTTGAATAGTCAACATTTTTTTTAAATCTACCGCTTATTCGGAAAGCTGTCTCATCACAAGAAGAATAAGCAAGAAACATGAGTGTTGCTCTTTTAAACAATCCTTGTAAGTTCACATTTTACAATTTATTACATTCGTACCAAGTTTGAAAATAATTCAAACAATCAATAATAATAATAATCTCACGACAATTAACACAGCGCCATCTAGTCCCACGGTAAGCAGAGCTTGTGTTATGGGTACTAGACAACTGATATAAATACTTAGATATTTTTTTCTAAATCAATAATAATTGTGAGAATCTCAACGAGGTGCGAGGATGTAATTGTTGTAAATAATATAATTATAAAACACCAAGTTATAAATAAATTATAATTATATATATTTACTAGCTACTCGCCCCGGCACGGGGGGTGTACATGTATTATACACATAAACCTTCCTCTTGAATCACTCTATCTATTAAAACCGCTTCAAAATCCATTGCGTAGTTTTAAAGATTTACATAGGGACGGACAAAGACAAATAAAGTTAAATTACACGCGGACGAAGTCGCGGGAACAGCTAGTGACAAATATAATCTCAGAATTTAAATTTATTGTTGTCGAATTTCGACCAATGGGTGATCACTAATATTGATTAAATTGTATAGAAATAGAAATGTCTTTATTCAAATAAACTCATTACAAGCACTTTTGAATAGTCATATTTTTATTCTACCACTCATTCTGAACGCTGATTCATCACAAGAAGAATGAGCAAAAAACTTGTGTGTTGCTCTTTTTAATAGATGTTTTTTTATATAATAATTACAGTATAACAAGTAAGAGGCATGCGATAATTAACATAGAAATCGCTACGCATTTATTATATTCAACACGTGTATAAATTTTTACATATCGTTAAGTAAAAAGAAAACTGCTTGTGTGTCAAGTTATGTTGATTGCTGATTTACATGTTGTACAATTGTTTTCCTTCCTTTTAATTAAGTGTTTATTACTTCTTGTTTCCTAGACATGCATTAATTAGAGACGCGGTTTGTTTAAGAGCGAGGAGCGATAAGAGTGTCGCTTTTAGCGGAAAAGATCTAAATTTTATTTGATTTTTTATTAACTGTCGTAATTCTTTATTTATGTATATAAATTAATTAATATCAGCATTAAATAACAGTAATATATCTTTACATAAGTTAAATAAAGTCGCTGTCGCTTGCTGTCCCTATGTTTGCTTAAATCTTTAAAACTACGCAACGGATTTTGAAGCGAGTTTTTTTAATAGATAGAGGAAGATTTATATATAAAATACATGTACACCCGTGCGAAGCCGAAGCGAGTCGCTAGTATTTATATATAATCATATTGGTTGCAATGAAAAGTCAGTGAAGTCCGATTGGTTTTGGTGAAATATTGTAATTTTAACACAGAACGTATAACGAATATAAATAAACAACTCTAGATGCATCAGACAGTACCAAGAAAGTATGTTTTTAGTAAATAAATATGTATAATAGACTACATAATGTCCAGATCAATACGTGCTCATAAATAAAAATGTAAAAAGAAACATGTTTCTGCTTCGGTAAACTACTAAACATACTGCAATTTGGAA